AAAAAGAGGACGATAAGTCCAGTGGAGAGCTGGAAACTGGTTTGTCTGGTGAGGACTCTTTGTCTGAGCAGGGGGCATCAGCCCCGAAAAGTTCCTACAAACTGCGGAAGAGAGAGACGAAGAAGTAAAGGCTGAAGGACTCTGAATTGTGCTTTTGAGAACTTTGGTTCTAGGGGATGATGGGGGGCACTGTTATTGGGCAATTAAATGTAACTGGGGATGGTTAAAAGGGTTAAAAGATTGACACAGTTCATAAGAAGTACAAAGATGAAAAGTCTGAATGAAGTATAAAAAGCTAGTTGGAGATCTCCTCTCTTGGGTTTTTAGTTAGTAGTGGGTTCTTTACTTTCTCCCTTATATGTAGCTTTCCCTTTCCCTTTTTTCTGTTCTAGTTTTTGTAGTGTTTAAAAAATCAATAAAAAATCCCCTCCGGGGGCTTAAAAAAAAATAAAAAATCCACGTGGCTGAGAAACAAGGCCAGTTGAGAAGGTTGCTGCAGCTGTCTTAGCAGAACGCCTTGCCATGGAAGGCAATATAGAAAAGGTTCCTGGGATGCTCCACCACAGGACCCTGCTCCCCTTCCCCTCACCCAGGATGAAGTGCGGTACAATGAAGCAGCGCTATAGAAAGCAGCACTTGTATTTCCTGTTGGCTTATTTTAGTTACTGTGTTTACACCCCACTTTTCTCCTCCATGAGGACACAGAGTGGCTTACATTCTTCTCTCCACTGTTTTATCCTCACTATGCCTCAGTGAGGTAGGACTGGCCCAAGGTCACTTCGATGCAATCCTGGGCAGACTGGGATTTGGAACAGGTCTCCCAGATCCTAGTCTGACACTAACCACTACCTCACACTGGCTTTCTCTCTGGTAGTTAGATCTTGCTCACATGCTGTATACAGTGCGATCCGTACATTGGTGCGTATAAGGCTCTTTAAAACATGCTTATGTTGCTTTTCCACCCAATCAGGGTCTGTGAGGTGACAAACATTAAAAAATAATTTAAACCCCCCCCCCCCAAACTGTCAAGTACCTTTATAGAAGCTTGCTACTCTGGGGCTGCTTTTGTTAATTCTCTTGTATCCTGGGCCAGTGAAGAGATTACATAGGAAGTTAATGCCACTATAAACATTTGAGTACTGAATGACAATTTGGGATGTATCCAAGAAATTTCTTCAGGTGATCTTTTTATGGGATTATTTAATTTTTGTTGTTGATGTTTTGTCCATCTACTGCACTCCAGTGTTCTTTGTGGCACTAATATTTGTGGTGGTTTTGTTTTTTCTATATATTTGACAACATTACTATAGAAATTCTTGGGATTTCTGTGACTACTGAGGAGGTGTAAAAAGTTACCAGGGAAAGTCTGTTAGTAAATCTGTTATTAAAAACAAGTTTCACAAAATAAATATAGTTGTATAATTATCCTAGGTACACAGTCACATAAACATATTAAAGTGCTTTATACTGTATCAGTCCCTTGGTCCATCAAGGTCAGTATTGTCTGCCCAGACTGTCAGTGGCTCTCTAGGGTCTAAGGCACAGGTCTTTGGCTTCACCTACTACCTGATCCTTTTAACTGGGATGCTGGGGACTGAACCTGGGACCTTCTGCATGCCAAGTAGATGCTCTGCCACTGAGCCACAGCCCCTTGCAGTCCTCCTGACACTTAGGAATTGTAATAATATTGGTATTTGGGGGTTAATGAGGCTTGGGTTACATCTCTCATGGATAGTTTATATGACTACTACTCCCTAGTACTTCTAAATATGTTCACGCTTACCCTCCAGTGATTCAAATATTGTACCATGATCTTTTGATGTAACTGTAGAGCCCTGAATATGGGGAATATCAGGTTATTGGAAGCTCAGTCAACTATATAAAAGAATTAATATATGGGAAGTAGATAATCTTGCGTTATGGTTTAGCTCCTTAAAAGAAGATACCCTTAATAACTTGGTACTGATATGTATTTAGTTGTGCATTATTGCATTATATAATTAATTATTTAAAGGTATATAAAACAGCAACCCAGTCTGCAGACCATATGGATGGTTATTTCAGAGCAGTATGACATTCGGCCTTCTTCACATATGCATCCTCTCCTCTCCTCTACTTATTCTTTTTTCTTCATTTTTCTTTCAGTCAGACTCCATCTTTCTGTTCTGACTGAGTGTATGGAATATATCCTTAAAGATGGGTTTAATTCTTGCCGCTTGCTCTGTGTGTGTGTCATGTGCTGTCAAGTTGCTTCCGATCTATAGCAACCCTATGAATTGCTTACCTCCAAAGCATCCTATCATTAACAGCCTTGCTCAAGTCTTACAAACCGGAGGCCATGGCTTTCTTTATTAAGTTATAGAATTTTAAAAAGTTGGATGGGGCATAAAGACCATTCAGTCCCTCCCCACTGCACCGTGCAGGATGACCTAAACCATCCCTGACAAATAATCATCCATTCCAGGTTTGTGCACCTTCAAGGAGGGAGAACCCACAACCCGGGCAACTGGGGATCAGTTGATCGAGTCATTCCATCTCATGCTGGGTCTTACTCTTTTCCTGCTTTCAGCTTTTTTCTAGCAGTTTTATCTTTTCCCATGAGTCCATCTCATGCTGGGTCTTACTCTTTTCCTAGCAGTTTTATCTTTTCCCATGGGCCCTTGTCTTCTCATGATGTGACCAAAGTGCAATAGCGTCAGTTTAGCCATTTTATCCTCTAAGGAAAATTTAGGCTTGATTTGATCTAGAACCTATTTATTTGTCTTTCTGGCGGTCTATGGTATCTGTAACACTCTCCTCCAACACTACATTTCAAATGAATCCATTTTCTTCCTGTTAGCTTTTTTTCCCTGTACAGCTTTCACATCTATACATAGTAATGGGGAATACCATAGTATGCATTATCTTGGTCTTCATTAACACTTCCTTGCACTTAAGGATCTTTTCTAGTTCCTTCATAGCTGTCCTTTCAAATCTCATTCTCCTTCAGAATTCTTGGTTGGAATCTCAGTCTTGATTGAGTAAAGAAATAGAAAATCTTTAACGATATCAACTTCTTCATTGTTACCCTTAAAATTGTGTAATTCCTCTGTAATCATTACTTTTGTCTTAATGTTCAGCTGTAATCCTTCAACCTTCATCAGTAGTTGTTTCAAGTGTTCAATATTTTCTTCAAGTAATGTGTTGTTCAGTAGATATCTAAAAACTGTTAATGTTCTTTTCACCAGTTTTCACTCTACCTTCATGTAAATCTAGTCCAGTTTTCTTTACATGTTCCATGTACAGATTGGACAGATAGGGAGATAATATTCATCCTTGTCTGAAACTTCTGCCAAATGGAAACCAATCTGTTTCCCCATATTCTGTCCTAACAGTAGCCTCTTGTCCAGAGTACACGTTGCACATCAAAACAATCAGATTTTATGGCACAATCATTTCTTTTAAAAGTGACCATAGCTTTTTGTGATCTACACAGTCAAAATCTTTGCTGTAATCTATAAACAAAATGTATTTTCTTCTGAAATTCTCTCGTATGCTCCAGTAACATTGTAAATTTGCAATATGATCTCTAGTGCCTCTTCCTTTCCTGAATCCAGTTTGAACATCTGGCATTTCTTGTTCTATACATAGTAAGAATCTTATTGTAAAATTTTGAGTGTCACTTTACTTGCATGGGGAGTTAATGTGATGATCCAATAGGTGCTGCAGTCTTTGATGTTTCCTTTTTTTGGAATTGGAATTTAAATTGAGTATCTCTAGCCTGTGAGCCATTGCTTGCTGTAGAAAAAACCCAGAACTGAAATGTATGACTACAACAATTGTTCAGTATTAAAATCTCTTAATCGTAGCCCTTCTCTGAGATTTCTTTTTATGACAATCATATAACGTTTAGCGGGATTTGTGAAGCAATTGTGATGTACCTATGTTCCATCAGGCAGTGCTCTGCCTTTTCAGTGCTTCCTGTTTGGAAATCAGGTGCGCTAGATAGATTTATAGATCAGACTAAATCTAATTTAAGGTCTTTGTTTCTTTTTGCAGAACTGATAGTGCATCAGCTGACCAAGAGAATTTAAAATACTCTTCATCCAGAGACCGGAGTACTTCTTCCTCCTATGGATTACAACCCTCAAGTTCAGCAGTGGTGTCTCGACATAGACATGATGATATCAGAGGCCCCACTGATGTACAGAATGAAGAAAAGGGTACTTCGTCTTTATATGAAAGGAAATGCTAGCTGTTGTAATTAATTCAGTATGAGAGAGCCATTTAAAATAGGTGTTACTGGATAAAATTCCTTGACAAAGACCAGCTAAATTTTTTTTGTAATAAAGTGGAAAACAATAATGTAATATGTGACTTCAATATGTGACAACAAATGTGACTTCAGGTATCATCATCTCTAGGTGGCTACAGCGTCATGATAAAATTCCTTGACAAAGACCAGCTAATTATTATTTTTTTGTAATAAAGTGGGAAACAATAATGTAATATGTGACTCCAAGAGAAATCAAGAAATGTGACTTCAGGTATCATCATCATCTCTAGGTGGCTACAGCGTCAATGGAGGATCTGGGGAAAATACTTATGGTCGGAAGTCGTTGGGGCAAGAGCTGAGACTTAACAATGTGAACAATCCTGATTTTACCAGTGTTCAGCATGGGAATCGTGCTTTAGTCGCAAAAGACATGAGGAAAACACAAGGTAAGATTTATGCCTATTGAGGAATAATTGTCTGACTATGACAGTATCTAAAGGCCCTCAAGCAAACTTACAGCCGTATTGCACTGAGGAATCTAGAAATGTGTGGTGGCAAGCTGAGCGATTACAGTAAAATATTTCCTTTGGAGAACGTGTCAAAGTCAGAAAATGGATTTGGAACCCCTTGTGTGTATCTGCCTTCTTCCTAAACTTTTGAGCAAATGTAACACTCTGTGATGCTTATATCATAGTTTGCCATAGATTCCTTCCTACGTAGGTGTTTCCTGGTGTAGCAGCCAGCTCTGTGAAGAAGGGACAGTCTTTTTTTCTTGTAAGAAAACTAAATGGGGCAAACATGAATTAAAAGTGCAACCTTTTCTCCAGAAAAGCATTTGTGGCTGAATCTTTATGTTTTTACAGTAGAACAATGCCTGTTGTGATGGAGGTGGTAGAGGAGGACTCATAATATGTGTGTGTGTGTGTGGGGGGGGGCGATGGGACGTCTCCATTGCATGCTTCCTGTCTTGGAGGATAGGCCTTGCAGTGTTTGGTGCAGGTGAATGACATCTGTTCACTCTTATGGGAGAAAATAAAGGGGTGTGATCTTGGATTCCGACAGTGTGGGTTGGTCTGGAACAGGGTTTTCCATCCCCAGGACTCCTGCTAGCTGCATCAATTTATTGTGTGCCATATAGGCTGAGGGGAGCCACTGAAATGTCTTCCTTGTCATAATTAATGTGACAGGAATAGATTGGACTCCATGGAGGAACAGACAGAGTTTTGCAGGCAGGGATAGGCTCAATTCTCAGTGGTATTTATGGTCTTTCATAAGGAGACTATTATCGGGGAATAAAACCTATCTTCTCCCTCCCCATACTGGTAACTCCAGCATTTGAGGCAGTGGGGTGGTCTTTTCACCACCAGTGTGGCACATCCATGCTGATGCTGCCGCCTCCTTTGCAGTCTTTGGACCTGTGTCTTCCATGGCAGCACTGGGACTCTCTCAGATTGCATCAGGTCCCACACATCAAGCAGGCCACACACTGGATTTAATCTTTGGTGTGGGGATTGACATGGATCTGATTGCTAAGGAAGACCCAGCTGGGTGTCCCAGCCCTCCCGTGTCTAGGCAGCAGGTGGATTTATGCTCGCCTGCAGAGACTAGTGGACCCAGTTCAGCTCCAGAATGCTCTGTGGGATCCAGTGCCTCCCGGTGATTCATTAGATGCACTGATAGAGAACTGGAATTCCTGTCTCTCTGAAGCCATCAATGAAATTGCTCCCCAATGTCCTTTATGATCCCAATCCAAACTATCCCCCCCCCCCGATATACTATGGAACTTGGGGACGAAACAGGAACTTAGATGAGTAGAGCGAGTTTGGCGGTGTTCTCATGACAAAGCTGCAAGAACATCTTATAGGACGTTTATGAAATCTTGTGAGGTGACGGTGAAGGCTGCTAAAAACGAATTTTATACAGTCTCCATCACATCCACTAGCTCACACCCAGCGCATTTGTTTAGGGTAACTGGATCTCTAGCTTTTCTCACCGAGAGAACCCAAAATGTTAGGAATTCAGCCATCAGCTGTGAGGCTTTTGCAAGCTTTTTTGCGGACAAAGTATTTTTGTTCCGCCATGACCTCCTGGTCAGTATTGATATAGTATGTGAACTGGAAGCCCCTTGGCCGTCCGTGGATTCTGTGTTTGACAGCTTCCGCTGAATCTCCCAGGAAGATGTTGACAGGATTCTGGGCACTGTTAGACCAACCACATGCCTCTTAGACCCATGTCCCTCGTGGCTGGTGAAAGCCAGCTGTGAGGGAATATAGGGTCCTCTGGAAGACATTATCAATCTGACCCTGGATTTGGGGGTCTAGCCAGAAGGATTAAAAGAGGCTGTAGTTGTACCACTCTTAAAGAAGCCAACTTTGGACCCTATGGATTCATCCAATTACTGCCCAGTCTTGAGTCTTTCATTTCTGGGTTAAGGTAATTGAGAGAGTGGTGGCAAAGCAGCTCCAGGATTTCCTGGAAGATGCATTGGCAGTGGAACCATTCCAGTTGGGTTTCTGCTTCGGCCATGGGATGGAGACAGCATTGGTCACCTTCGTAGGTGACTTTTTGCAGGCAGTTGGATTGAGGTGGATCACCGCTGCTGTTACTGCTTGACTTTACAGCAGCATTAGACACGGTCAGTCGTGACCTTTTGACCCACTGCCTCACCAATGTAGGAGTTCGGGGGTTGTTTTAAAGTGACATCTCATTTCTCCTTGGTCAAGGACAGAGGGTGGCTCTGGGAGAGAGGGTGTCAACTAGGCATCCCTTAGTATTCAGGGTCCCTCGGGGCAGTCTTCTCCCTGATGTTTAACATTTGTATGTGCCCCCTTGCCCAACTGGTATGGAGTTTCAGGCTGGGATGCCACCAGTACGCTGATGACACCCAGCTATATCTGTTGATGGCCAGCTGGATGCCAGCCCAGCAATTTTGGCTGAGGGGCTGGAGGCTGTGGTGGGATGGTTGAAACAGAGCCGGCTGAGATGAGTTCTGCTAATATGGAGGTCCAGTGACTGGGTAGGGAGGACTCAGGTTTGGGTTGCCAACTTGATGGTGTGCCCTTAACACTGGTGCCAGCTGTCAAGAGCCTGGGCGTGATTCTGGATGCCTCCTTATCAGTGGAGGCCCAGATCACAAATGTTGCCAGACTGGTATTCTTTCAACTACGCCAGGTCAGGCTACTGGCCCCCTACCTGTCCCACTCTGATCTAGCCACAGTGATCCACACAATAGTGGATTAGACTACTGCAGATTAGACTACTGCAACTCGCTCTCCATAGGGCTACCCTTGAGACTGACCTGGAAACTCCAGCTGGTCCAGAATGCTGTGGCACGAGTCCTTACTGAGACTCCGCAAACAGCACATATTTGATCTGTGCCTTGCAAGCTGCACTGGTTACCAGTGGAGCACCGGATCAGGGTCAAGGTTTTGGTGCTTACCTTTAAGGCCCTTAATGGTCTGGGACCCGCGTATCTTCGGGACTGGCTCCAAAGAACACTATGCTCTGCAGATAAGAACTTGCTTGTGGTCCCCGGCCTGAGAGACCCCGGCCCTGGCCCCATCCTGGTGGAACTCTCTGCTGAGTAACATCTGTGCCCTGTGGGACTTAATGCAGTTCAACAGGGTCTGTGCCGTCAGGTATTTGGTCGAGGACAGCGTCCATTTGGCTGGCACTCTTACCCCTTGTCTCCCCTCCGCAAGGCGGTGGCACAGTTAGAAGTTTCAGCTGCCATCTACTTAAGTTGATCACTGTAATTTTATCTTAATTTTAATGTTTTAACCTCAAATTAGTATGAATATGATTGTTTTATTTATCATTGTACACCGCCCTGAGCCCTGTTTACAGGGGAGGGTGGTATAAAAATTGAATCAAATAAATAAGTGAATAAAAATTTAACCTGCTTACTTTTGTGCTTATGTAGCTTAGGAGCCATGGCGAGTTAAACTTGTTTCCTTGGGGGAGCCCTTCATGTTCCTCTGTACAGCCCAATCTCGGTTGCTGTTTCTCATCTCCTTAGAGTGTGATAAAGAGATGGAACCCAGGCACTGCCTTGTATTTATGAGACAAGATGGGGCTTGTGTGTAGTCATTCCTGGCTCAGATGAAGCCCTGGACCAAGCAGTCACAGTAGAGGGTAGACGACAGTAGTAATGGGCTATGTGAAAGCTACAGGTGTAGCAGTAGTTGCTCTCAGTTGGCCCTTTCTAAAAAATAAAGTACAGTAGAAATCAATGACATCACAGTTGATAACAGCCACTTGTGCTTTTCCTTCTCAGTAACTATGATAGTTTTCTCGTATCTCACTTTGGATTTGATCTGGATACTTTGATTGAATGTCATACATGGTCATGCGTCTGTTTCTAGAGCGATCATTGTCTTACTCTGATGAGTCTCGACTGTCAAATCTTCTTCGGAGGATTACTCGGGAAGACGACAGAGATCGAAGACTGGCTACTGTAAAGCAACTGAAAGAATTCATTCAGCAACCGGAGAACAAACTGGTTAAGTAGCACATGGATGCTTGTCTTCAGTTAACGTATTAATATGTTATTCCTCAGACTGAGAGGTGGCCATCTTTTAGGTATGAGGTTGGCTGGGTTGTGTATACGTGATCAAGGCTGCGGTGCCCCCTGTATATCTTCTTTCTCGCATATTCACATTCCCTTGATTGTGTCATTTATGGAACTGGCAGGGTCTTCTGGGGCGCAGAATTTTCATCTTTTTTCCCCTTCAGTACTCTCAGCTCTGCCTACAAACTGGGCCAACACTTAACTGCTTGGAATCCTGAATTAGCAGGCAAGGACTTTCCCCCCTTCCTGTCCCACAGGCAGTGGAACTGAAGAACGCTTAATGCCATTTTTATTCCTCACCTCATGTTGCTCTGACATGAGGGATTCTCAGCCCTGTGTGTGCATTCCCCATCAGGAGGAGCAGCTTCGTTCATGGAGAGGAAAGGATTGCTGGTTGGCCAGCTCCATTAGTTTGGCCCTGTGGAGGCTGATCTTCCCTAGCATTTCAGAGGGGGAAGAGAAGGGGGTGATCAGTTGCGTCACTATTAAAAGGCGGCTGGATGGAGCAGCTCCCACTCTGGGAAACATGCAGTAGCCAGGGCCCTGCCCCCTGGGAGCTTGGGAAGAGGCCAGGATCAAGCATGTGCTCCTCAGCGTTTGCTGTGGGCCCAGTGACCGGGACCTCCGGGATTCCTAATGGAGAGGTAGAGTGGCTTTCACCAAGACCCATGAGGACTGAATGTGCCATTGACCATGGGTGTCTTTAGACTAGGAGGCTGCTCTGTTTCAACCTTTTGAATTCAATGAAGTGCTTAAGGGGGATGGCTAACCTCTTCCAGTGTGTTTGGGGTAGGGGTGGTTGGAGGGTAGTTTATCAGGGACTTGACTCCCTCCCTCAAAACTAAGTATTGTTTTTAGTGCTAAATGATAGGATGTCTCAGAATTTTGAACAACTGTTGCAGAGGCCTTATGGGTACTGTATCCTGTTCTGTGGGAAACCTGTTGGCTGTAAAGCGGCATTGCACGCGGTACTTAGAATCATAGAATCATAGAATGTTAAGAGTTGGAAGGGACCTTGCGGGTCATCTAGTCCAACCCCCTGCACTCTTCAGACTTAATGGCATGCAAGTTGTTTCTGACATAGCAGGTGCAAGAGCATCCATACTGTATTGTTGCGAAACCAATTGAGCCTTAGTTGTACAGCAACAATAGAACAACCGTCACATGGCAAAGTTGCCGCGGGAGAGGCACGGATGGTGGGCGGATTATCCGGGTGCGATCACACCCCAACATCTGGGAAGTGGAGCGCACCCGTGGCTTACCGCCGACAATGCGCCTTAAAAAACTAGAACCTCCAAGGTACTAGTAAACGTTTGCCACGGGCTACCTCCAGATGCCCGTGGTGTGATCGCGCCGGCGCGTGGCATTCCCCTCCAGTCCCTTGTTTACCTGCCGGCGCCAAGGGAAGGACCCGTGGTGTGCCGCCGGTGCATTTGATCGCATAATCATGCATCAAACTGCGCTGGAGCAATTAGCCGAGGCGGACCTACCCCCACCCCCCCCCCCCCCCCGCGCGATATCCGGCCTGTGTGACCGGGGCCATTGTTAGTCTTTTTTAATGATAATAGCAAGCTGAATTTATATCGCAGTAGCACAGTCTAAAAGTTGTTTATGTCTCCTGTTGCAGGTGCTAGTTAAACAACTGGATAATATCTTGACTGCCATACATGATGTGCTTAATGAGAGGTAAGTTGGAACGCAGGAATGTAAGCAGTCCAGAGGTTTTCAGAGGATGCTGTCAATTTGGTTTTGCTTTCCAAAACGCTGGATGATTCTATGGCTTTTTCCAAGTTGAATTTTCTGAGGGAGAACTTCTAAGCTTATGACAAGGTCACTAAGCAAGCAAAATTCATCTGATAAACATTTTTCTCACTGAGAGCATGTTTGCATAGTTGTATGTGGGGGCAGGGTAGTTCTTGGGGGGGGCAGCACAGTTTTGATCCCTAGCTGTGCATACGCACACCTGCAACCCACATGATCATGCAGCTTCCAATCGAGGGGAGGCGTCTTAGGAGGAAAGTCCTAGCAAGTACCTATGGGATCTTTGGTAAGTGAGGGTAAATAGAGAGACCCTCCATGATTGTTGGCCTTCACATTTTTCCTAGCAGAAGTGTGGTACTCTCTGATAATCGATTGTGTAGATCTCTCATCCTGGTTGGATAAAGGTCCAGTTTCCATGAGTAAAAGGTGTTTTTGTCTTCTGTGTCAATGCAGTAGCAAATTGCTTCAAGAACTGAGACAGGAGGGCGCTTGCTGTCTTGGTCTGCTTTGTGCTTCTCTGAGCTACGAAGCTGAGAAGATCTTTAAATGGATTTTTAGCAAATTTAGCTCATCCACTAAAGATGAAGTTAAACTTCTTTATTTGTGTGCAACGTACAAAGCATTGGAGACTGTGGGAGAGAAGAAAGCCTTTTCATCTGTAATGCAAGTAAGAGCAAAAGTAAAAGTGTACCCATTTGTCTTTTTGTGGAATGATTTTCTTAAATTAATTGAATTGTAAGCAGCTTTGGGTATTAGTGTGTTCAAACCACAATATATAGTGCTTTCTGAAACTCTATTTTAAAAATATCTGGAATCCAGAAATGGTTGAAAAGGGTTGTTAATAATCCCCTAAAATCCAGATTGGTTTTCTGGGTCTATTTCTTAAAATTCTGTTTTGGATGCTCCAAAGTTTTTGGTTCTGCATTCTCATCCCAAAGGTACCTCCCATTTAGGTTCCTTTTCATTACCTGAGCATCTAAGATTAATAGCAAAAAGGAAGGGAGGGCAGCATTGAAAATGGTTGGAAAAGTCGAGGGCACTTGTGCATCTACTGTGGAGAGTAAACTTTCTGTGAAGCTGTTATTAAACTCTCTTGTTATCTTCTGTACAAATTTGGTAATAAATGGCATTGCAGCTTATACTGAGGGTTGTTGAGGACCCAGGTTGTGATTTCAGTTTGCTGTTTATGTGAGAACGAAGCTAAGTAAAGAGAGGGAAGAATGGTTACCAGCAACAGTCTTAAATGAGCAGCCTCCACTACCAAGGCTGGCAGTCTTGTTGATCAGACTCTTTGTAAAGTTACACATAACAGTTTTCCAGCCTTTTATAGACTAGAAGAATGTTTGCTTTTTCATGTGACTACACACTCAAAGATAGAGTGAGAAAGCTATTAAAAGTGTGCAGAGTAAGCTTTGGGGGCACAGGTGTTTCTTAATCAGACTTGAGTTTTGCTACGCTTCTGTACTGCTGGAAGTTTGTATTGTCTGGGAAGGACAGGAGTACTCCAAAAGAAGAGTGGGAAGCTGGAATAAAATGGGAGGGGCCTAGGGAGTAGATATATAAGAAAGGCAGGTGATAAAAGAGGGTGTGTCCCTTTCAGAAGACTGTAGGACAGCTCTGTCTTACTTTGGAGCTGTCAGCTCTTGGCAGGCCTCAGAAGACTTTCCACTCACGTGACTCATGTGCTTGAACACACGTCTTGTGGAGAATGCAAACAGTTCAGTCTGGAGCTGCCTTTGTTTCAAAGCAAGCCTTTCTAAATTATTCATTTTTAAGTGGGCTCTCTGATTTATCAAATTAGTTGTTTTGAAGTTTGCAAATAGTGTTTTGAATAAACTGACTTAGTTTTTTCTCCTTTTGGGGGGGTCTTTTTTGCCCCTTTTAAAGCTTGTAATGACTAGCCTGCAGTCTATCCTGGAGAATGTGGATACACCAGAACTGCTGTGTAAATGTGTCAAGTGCATCCTTCTTGTGTCTCGATGTTACCCTCACATTTTCAGCACAAACTTTAGGGTAAGCATGTTCACCTTGGGTTTTTTTTTAATATGTGTAGACTTGTAATGTTTTACAGATGGGTTAACTTTTTGTTTGTTGCTTTTCCAAGGACACAGTTGACATCTTGGTTGGGTGGCATATTGATCACACTCAGAAACCTTCTCTGACACAGCAAGTGTCTGGTAAGTCTTGAAAAATGAAACCTTTGTACGTGACAGCTGTATGCATCTTCCTGATGTGAAACTGGTTTCACTAGATGTGAATTCTCTGTATAATGTTTCATGAGTAATCCACCTAGCTCAGGATCGTCTGATCCCCAGGTTCTTGGGCAGAGAGCCTCAGAACCACAGCCTCAGTGTCTTGTCGAGTGGGAAGGGTCGAGTGGGAAGGGCCTGGAACCTCAACATACAAAGCATGTGCTCTGCCACAAACCAGTATGGTGTAGTGGTCGCAGTGTCAAATTAGATATGCTCCTTTTTCTCTGTTTGGCTTTATACCTTCTTGTAGATGAATTAATGATTCTGCACTGTTTTGATTTCGCTATTTAAGATAGTGCTTTTAGTACTGACTGCCTTCAGCTTTATTAATTAATAAGTAAAGCAAATTGGAGCTGCGGTGGCTCAAGTGGTTAAGACACTGAACTGCAGGCTGTGGAAGGTCGTTATTTCGGCAGTTTGTGCCGCATGACGGAGTGAGCTCCCGTCTCTAGTTCCAGCTCCTGCCAACCGAGCAGTTCGAAAGCAAGAAATTGCAAGTAGATAAATAGGTACCACTTCGGTGGGAAGGTAACAGCGTTCCGTGCGCCTTGGTGTTTAGTCATGCTGGCCACATGACCATGGAAACGTCTTTGGACAGCTCTGGCTCTTCGGCTTTGAAATGGAGATGAGCACCGCAACCCTAGAGTCGGATTCGACTGGCTTTCGAGCAAGGGAACCTTTACCTTTCACTAAAGCAAATTATACTTTCAACCTGTGCATATTTTCACTGGCCTGATTTTTTTTTTTATTTTTTTTTTTGCAGGATGGCTACAGAGCCTGGAGCCTTTTTGGGTAGCTGATCTCGCATTTTCTACCACGCTTTTGGGTCAGTTTCTAGAGGATATGGAGGCGTATGCTGAGGTAATACAATATGGATGATGGCTGGAAAGGAGAAGGATATTAGGCGAACTCTGGCATGGCGTCTCCCTTCCTGTGTAATTCATGCATATTGCTTGTGATTTGGGAAAGAGTTGACTTCCGTTAGCTGGGCAGTGTTGTATTTCCTGCAAAATGGGTTAAGATAGCATTTCAAGCAGTGTCCTGGTCCTCATTAAGAGCAATAAAAATATGTAATTCTAATCAATATGTCTGGCTTAGATGTAAATATCGCCCCCCCCCCTCCCCGGGTCTCATTCTTTCTTTCATGGTAGTCATCTAGAATAAATGGCAAAACCTTTCCAGTTTAAGACCATTGTTATTTGATATGTAAAACTTGATAATGTAAATTTTTATTGAGATTGATAGTAATGAGGCTGTATTCCATGTAATTTGCCAGGCTTGTAAATTCCTCCAATTTTCAGCAGCCAGGAGAGTGAGAACCAATGAAAGAGGGGCCTGGGATTGGCCAGAGACCTGAGGTTTGAGTGGGATGCCACCCCAGTGTGTCGCTATGCCAGAGGAGGTGGAGGCACCCCAGATTATTTTTTGCCATTCCAGGCAAGCTATCATTGGACAGTGGTCCTTCTGGATTGAAAGGTGTGGTAGAAATCAAATAATCTGATAATCTGCCTCACTTTTAACCATTTTTGTTCACTAAGCTTTGACGTGGCAGTAGAAAGTGCCACAAACTGACAGTTGACTTATGGTGGCCCCTTGGGGTTTTCAAGGCAAGAAACTTGCCTGCCTCTGTGTAAGCATTATTTATAGTCATTCAAAATTAACATGTAAATCAAAATTAATTTTACAGCCTAGCCCTCCCACACACCCTTCAGTGCAGAGATGTCAAACTCATTTTATAATGAGGTCCGGATCTGACGTAAATTTGACTTTGTCAGGCTGGGACATGCATGCCATAAAATGTAATGCCAGGTATTGGAGATATACACTTTATAAAGGACAAAGGAAAACCCAATTAACCATATTTTTTTCTCAAAATATGAATAAAAGCAATTGATTCCCAGCAGTGAAAGCAATTGATTTACTGGGGAACCTGCAGAAGCCCCAGTAAATGTATTTAATGCTATGCAAGGTTTTTTTCCCCAATGGATGCCATAAAAGGGGGAGCAGTTTACATTTCCATACTAATTAGTTTTTTTATCTATAGCACTTTTAGGGGACATCCTCTTTCTTGCAAGTAAATAAGGTAGTTGTTCAGTGCCTCCCCATATACCAGCCTCAACAGCAGAGCATGGCTGCAATCCTTGTTTCCTCTCTTTGTCTATTCCTTTCTTCCCCCGTTGTACCCCTGAGGATCTTGGGGATGCACACTGGATTCCCCCCCACCTCATCCCTCCCCCCACCAACTCCGTGAGGTGGGCCAAGCTGAGCCACCGGCCCTGGGTGACCAGATGACAGGGTCCTGGCTCAGGGGTGGGTGGGTCGAACCTGGCTCTCCCAGATCCCCACCCCCAGTTCGCATTCCTCTTGCATTTCCCACTGAAGCGGCGGGGATGAGGGGAAGGCCTGATGGAGAGGCTGTTTCCTCCTGCGACCCCTTTTTGTCCTCTCGCGACCCCTTTTCCCTCACAAGCTGAGAACGGGTGGGGGGGGGAAGGAGACCGCCATCCCCAACCTGCCTCAACACTCTGCCTCCCAGCTCCGTAACTGTACAGACGTGCTGTGGCGACAACAGCAATGCCCCTTTCCCCCTTAGCTTCCCCCACTCGCTTCTGAGGCCGGGACGTCTTTCCCTTCAGAGCGGCATGCACAAGGCAGCCCAGTGGCCTCCCAGTCCTCATGACGGCTCTCATCCTCTTCTCTCCCCTGCCAGCCCAGTGTCTCAGTCAGCAAATCATCGCTCCACATGCCCACTCTTGCCAACCCTCCTCACAGTCGCCTTGTGAAAAAACATGAAAGTTGGTTGATGCAGTGGTAGCAGCACCAGCTGCTCAGCTCTGCCTCTCCCCCCCTGTAATGGCTTCTCCGATCCTTGCTGAGAAAGCGGGAGGGGGAAAATACCACACCTCCTCTTTCTCTGTCTTACTCTTCACTGCCATTCCCCTGCCATACTGTTTTACCTCAGCCTCTTAGCCATGCCCCTAGCAATTTCCTTTCCATTTCTCTAACTTCTTTTACCTCAGCCTCTTAGCCATGCCCCTAGCAATTTCCTTTCCATTTCTCTAGCTTCAACACCTCTCCACCTGTGCCCACTCCCCCCCCCCCGAGCAGCCTCCTGCCTTCTCTCCCTCACACCAGTTGCTCACAGGCTGGATAAGAGTCCTGGACTGGCTGGTTCCAGCCCATGGGCTGTATGTTTGACACTCCTGCTTTAGTGTATATGAAAGGGTGTGTCAGAGTTGAGAGGTCTGAAAACCAGGCTTAATCTTGACGTGCTTGTGTTGGCACTGAAGACTCACGTTAAAATGGTACTGCAGTCTTCACTTTCATTTGTATTCAACACACACACTCTGTTTTTACGTAGGACCTCAGCCATGTGGCATCCGGAGAATCAGTTGATGAAGATATACCACCACCTTCCGTTTCGCTGCCCAAACTGGCGGCACTGCTTCGG